GACTTCGGGTCAGCGCGTCGTAGTGCAATTGTGTGTTCGTGTAGGCGAGTGCACAGTTGTTTGACTGTCTCTCCTACGTAACGCTGATCACAGTCTAGGCACGGAATCACGTAAACCACCCCGGATTGGTCGTGCGTTTCTACGTGATGTTAAAAATAACGATAAGCATTAATTCCTTTGATACGATAGTTACCAGTGGCTTTAAGAATTCGCAGTAGAACAAGCACGGCAGATTGGATGCATCCAGTAGTCTTGGGTAAAATTTGGTAGCATGGTTCGAAGGCATGACGTACATTCGGTGGAAGCATAATAATCAAGTAATTGAACACACTTGATTGTAGAATCTTTGAGAAATGAAAATGCTATAAAGGTATACACTGTCCCTGTCAACAGCTTTAGAGAAGAACGTAGTAAAAGAGTTTTATTCGGAAAATTTGTCCCCAGGGTAAATATTCTAACAATGTTGTCTTGGAATCAATCCTGTGTGAAGGTTAGATTGCTTCTACAGATGTGATGTTAGTGAAAGTCAATTAATTCCTCTTGGCGTTTATCATCAAATCCTTGTGAAGAAAGAATGATTAATCAACCAGGCTACTACTGTTCCAGAGATGAATTATAGGATATAGTGAACGCATGAAAAGAATTCTATAATATACTAGTCCGAACTCAGCACCCAACTGACCTGAACGGTGTCGGGAATACACTCATCTACCACTGTGATTTGAGTCTAATTTATTTTGGGGTATTTTGAATGCTCCATTTGGCCTTACAGCCATAGCGAAAATGATCAAACTCCTTCTAATTGATTCTTTCTATAAAAAACTCACCGTAAGTGACCAATAATGTGGTGAGAAGCATTGCAACCCCGTCCAGTCCCAAAACCTTGGAAAAAAGTATTTTAGTTGAGCACAGTGTTTCTTTTTATCATAGAAGTGAAAACTGAGTTTCTTTTTCTTTAACTAATCATCATTCCACGAATCATTGTAGTAGATAGAAATGGGGGAGGGGGCGATACATGAATCGGTAGACTTATATGCTGGAAACAAATTGGCTTGTCACTGATTCTTACAAGGTGAAAGGATGATGAGTTTGGAGTTGCCTATGAGAATCAGCACTAAAACAAAGAAATCACTCACTAACTATAGGATATCCCATTTAGTTGAAATAATGGCTCGCAATATCTGTAGATCAGGGACATTTTGTCCGTCGTATAGAAAGAATCCGGACTATCGATACAGGCTCATTGTTGTTCATTAGCCATTGGTCTATCTATCACTCTCCTCTGAACGCTCAAAACAATGTGCCCTTGTGACTGTTCTCTACTGACCTTTCAACGCAAATCCTATCCTGATTAACCTATAGATGGTAGAATCAAGCGGGCGAAGGAAGATTTAATTCGATTATATGAAGAATATAAGCGCACGTATTACCACAGAGACTCAACAATTTAGAAACATCAGTACGGAGCTTTCTACTTTTCCATTTCCACTGTCTGTAAGGAACTAGTATTTTCAACATTCACTGTTCCATTCAAAATATGTTTTTGCAAAATCTGATAACGCCTTCCTACGGATAAAATACCACTCTGGTTTTTCCGTCGTGATTGAAAAATACAGTTGGGATCCCTCAAAATTCTACATGAAATAACAAAGAACCCACAAATTCGCCGAGCCATCGCGGACATTGGTGGTCTACAGCCTTTGGTCAATCTTCTTCGCAGTCCCAATCGCGACCTGAAGTGTCTGAGCGCGGAGGTGATTGCAAATGTGGCCAATTTTCATCG